ACGATTCTAGTGAGCAAAATATTGTCCCACGTCTACTGAAGCCTCTCTCCAAACTGCACATTGGAGCCTTCAAAGTACCCACCCTATATCAAATCGGCCAGCAGGCCTCCTTGGTTAAACCTTAGAATCTCGCACCACTGATGTATTCTGTGTCTCCAAAACACACACACAGGATCTTAGTGTGGTCATTCTTTTGGCCTCACCCTCCGTATATCTGGCGAACCGATGAAAAGTACTCTTGGACTGGAGGATGTAGGCATAGCACTAAGTATAAGAGCAGAGGAGCATTATTAGAATGGATCGCCGTTAACAGTCGCCTATGTGCTGTACGACTGCATAAAAACTCGGAAGGATGGGAACACACATCGTTGCCTTCTCGTCGTTTCTGCCCACACTCCCACATACTGCTGCCCAGATGAAGTGGAAGACGAACTTTGCAGAAAGCTTTCCGTACTTCTCGTACTCGTAACAGGTGACTATACTTCCCAAGTAGGTGGCTTAAGCCAAACAGAAAGACGTTCAGGTGGATATTTTGGTAGTCCAGCTCAGCGAGCTGATAATTGTGACCGTCTGCTGCAACTGTGCTCAGACAATCGTTTATTTTTAATAAGCACTAATTTTAGGCATAAAAAGAGACATCGTCTAACATGGCGACCCCCTGCATCAAACCGACAATGGACTCAAATATATCATATTGCCATCAGTCATCGTTGGAGAGGCTCGGTAGAAGATTGTCACTCATTCTGGTGTACCTGCTTGAACACCGACCATGCCCAAGTACGGGCACGCATCTGCTTGCGCCTCACTGGACGCGAAAAAGCCACATTAAAAAGACCCGTTAGAACTGAATTCAGTAGCGAGGAAACCAAAAGTAGGTTCCAGGAACAACTGAGGTCACACTTAGGTAGTTCTGAAAACGAGGCTGACCCATATGTTGCTTGGAAAGATATACAAGCAGCTGTGGAAACAACAGTGACATCTATCAGTGATTTAAACCACGGGGTTATAAAGAACTAACGGATTTCTTCAAGGTCTATTGCACTGATGGATTCTCGCAAACTCGTCCCATCAGGTCCCGAACATGATGAAGAGCGACAACAAATCAGATCTAGGTTAAGAAAAAGTCTAAGAAACGACCGTAAGCAGTGGTGGGCAATGAAAGCAAACGAGATGGAAAAGGTGTCGGCGGTTATAGGGAACACAAGACAGCTCTAAAGACTAATAAAAGAAACTGGAATTAATAAGCCAAGGGTAAGAGAGACTATTTTGGAAAAAGACGACACCCTCATCTCCTCCCAGTCCAGACGTTTAGAACGATGGGCGAAACACTTTAGAAAATAGGTTAGCTAGCCTTCAGCTACTCTACAACTACCCCCCATCCCCAGACAGTGTGAATGGAACATTGAAGTAGGTCTCCCAACTCTAGCTGATGTTCAGTAGGCTATAGTCAATCTGGAACGAGGAAGGTCAGCTGGCCCAAATGGATTGGCTCCAGAGGTCTTTAAGTATAGTGATCCAATTTTAGTGATTAGGTTGACTGATATTTTAGCTAAGATCTGGGAGTTAGACGTTATCCCATCCAACTGGTCACAATCACTTATCGTCCCAATATATAAGAGAGGGTTAAAATCATCCTGTAACAACCATAGAGGGATTAGTTTGACTAATATAGTATCTAAAATACTAGCCTCGATAATTATCAGACGCCTAATTAAGACCCGTGAACAGCAAACACGAGAGAATCAAGCTGGCTTCAGACCTGGTCGTGGCTGCATCGACCACATATTCACCATTCGTCAGGTTCTAGAACATAGGCATACTTCTCGGCGTCTGACAATGGTGGTCTTTCTTGACTTAAAAGCAACATTTGACTCGGTAGACCGCGAGATTCTGTGGCAGTGTCTGTCATTGAAAGGCGTACTCCAGAAGTACATAAACCTTGTAAAGGCTCTTTACTCGAACACTACTAGTCGAGTCAGAGCTTATGGCGAACTGTCATCTACTTTTGCAACCTCAAGTGGTGTCCGTCAAGGCTGTCCACTTTCCCCATTTTTGCTTAACTTAATCATAGATCTACTGATGGAAATAACTTTCTTGTCGACTGAGTTCTCGGGTATTGATCTCCTACCAGGAGGTCCACTTATCGACTTAGAATACGCAGATGATATAGTCCTGTTTGGTGAAGACGCTGATAAAATGCAGTCTTCTGGTAGCACTAAACAACAATGCCAGAATGTTTGGAATGCGCTTCTCTCCCTCGAAATGCAAGTTATTGCTTCAGGACTGGTCTGCGTTAACACCTGAACTAAGGATAGGGAGTGAAGTATTCGAACGCATTGACAACTTCATTTATCTTGGAAGTCTGATCAGCCATAATGGGTTGGTGTCCAACGAAATCTCAGCACGGATTCGAAAAGCTCGTTTGACTTTTGCCAACTTACGTCACCTATGGCAAAGGAGAGACATTCGTCTATCAATTAAGAGACGAGTATACTGTGCAGCAGTTCGTTCTGTTTTACGGCTGCGAACCGTGGCCACTAAGAGTAGATACTCGTTATCTACTAGTGTTTGATGACAGATGTTTTAGAAATATTGCTCACATCTGCTAGGATCACTGGGCAAGTAATAGTGAGGTTAGATGCAGGGTACTAGGGAAGGATGGTAAATCAGTTGATAAGGTTGTAAATCTTCATCGACTGAGATAGTTGGGCCACTTGTTGCGTATGCCTGAACGCCGACTACCACGGCGCGCAATGCCGACTAGTATTGGAGATGGTTGGAAGAAAGTTGGGAGAGGTCAAACCAAAACGTGGCATCAGTACTTGAAGTCACTAACTTCTAGTCTGAGTCATGTTGGTAGGTGCAGACTACTTGGTTGGGGTCCACGTGACTATCGTAAACAATGGTTGGAGACTCTTGGTGACATGGCTCAGAATCGATCACAATGGCGTCGGTGTATACACTCTCTGTCTTCCCTTAAACTAAGAGATTAAAATCGCTCCATATCTTTCCTTCTACGAACTATTTCTTCCTGTACTATATCCTTATATGCAATCTTTCTTTTATATATTACCACCTCTGAACTAACTACTTTTATGAATCCGGTGTCCATCTTGTTGTGTTAATGAGGTATGGCAACTTGGACCGATGCATATATGTGCCTGGTCCTACGTTGTAGCTGACTGACTGACTGAGATTAACTTTATGGGTTTATGTGTTACACCTGCGGTGTATCTGGTCCCTAGAACCTTTTTTATATAAACATGTGACAGTCTTTGCCTATACGTGAAGCGATCATCCGCCTGCTATTGGCTATATTCATGGTTTTGTTATGGCACGTCGATACTTATGAAAGGGTGCATCTAGTAAGATGGACTCAAGTAGGCTGCTGGAGTATAGTAAGGCCTGGTGCTACACGCGAGTGACCAAATAGAACACTAACGACTGCAACGAAACCGTAGACGAAACGAAGCAACACTCTGAACCAGATGGTATCCGTCATGGGTTACAAAAACAGCAGAAATAAAATATATACTGATTAGTAGTTATGACAACTCCGCACATCCACTTTGTGGAACAACTTACAACTACAAATTGACATGGTGGTTAGTGGATTCCAGGTCTATCTCAGTGTTCATATGGCGTTCCGACGATCTTAGGATTTGGGAGATAAAATTACCCTAAGGCATTCTTACTGCTCAACCAAACTTGAGTGGAGAAGGTGATAGGACTAATGTTGACTTATATCAACGATGATAATGATAAACTGACCTCGTGCTTTCCAAGTGATTCTAGTTTCATATATTCTATCATAGAAAAGGACAAAGGTATTGCTCAGTGTGACACATTGAATGTTTCGTGCCACTGACATTCTACAGAACACTAAGCAAATACTACTACAAAACTTTTTTTAGAATCCTAAACAATTAAAGACGACGTTCAACAATCACATAAGACATAATCTACTAAACTTTTCCTCTATATTCCATTACTATAAGTAGAATAACACTTTCATCAACCATTACACAAATAAACAGGGAAAAATCACTCTTGTTAAACTCAGGAAAAATAAATTTACAACCTTGGCAGTAAAGAGTGACAGGAGGGTACAATGCTCTTAACTTTCTTCACCATAACATATGACTACAACCTTTTAGGTGTAAAACACAGAAGGGCAAACAAAACGAAAGATAAGAAAGTTTCGTGGTGAAATTATGCAGATGGAATAATCTCTCTCCTGACGAAACAGTGTTAGAACAGTATATAGAGATCTACATAAGACGGCTTGGAATCTACCTTAAAGATGTAACGGATATTCAGGATTCGGCTTCACTGTTGTGTGTAACATCTTTACAACCGAGGGTCTCAAACACCGTCAAGCTAGAAATCGGAAAAGAAGGTTCAGATAAATATTTCGAAAATGGTTGATGAGTTGTGAAATACATGATACAAGCTGACTAATTGTTGCGGGATGTGGGTAGCATGGTGTACCCAATTGAGATCTGGTGTGCGCCTCAAGCCAAGGTTTGTTCAGTAAAACCTATGAGTTCGGCATCAATATCGAAGGCTGATATGTGAGTTATTTTCATTCTTCTATTCCTATCTAAATCCCTGTTTATCACACAACCTCATTTGATGTCTCAAATAACTTCATAATACAATCTTTTCTATCTGCCTATAGAAGTTTACCAACCATACGGCTACAAATGCAAATTTTCAACCTTAGTAGATGAGTTCGAAAGGAAAATTTTCTTCCCCGAATTCTCTATATTTTTACTCAAATAACTGTTTCGGATACTAATTTGCTGTCACAACTTCACTTCCAGATGAACAGTGAGGAAAGCCATTTAAGGTGTTTTTCCTTTATTGTTTCAGATCAAAATAAAAACCACATCTTTCCATATACAATTTCAATTTTTATCTTATGGTTTTGAGGCTTGACTTGTGAACGAAGGTTCGCGCGTCATTCATGGGTAGTCCGATCAGGACCGTCTGTTTTTAGCTCGTATTTGCTTCCCGCTTATTAAGTTAAAATTCACATATTTTACATTTTCATCCATGACTAGCCTGTGTATAAAATGTAATTTATAGACTACTACAAGATTCTGCCCCTGCCCAGCCTTTAAGGTGCGTTTTGTGGGAATTCTTTCATGCATGATATGAAAGTGACTGAAGCAGTATATTTTGTTTGTAAATTTTCTCATTATTGTAATCAAACTCGTGTTGCTTATGGCGATTAGTCTACTACTGTTCATTTTGAATGGCGCAAATTTGTTAAATATATACTTTAGTATTATGTTGCAGATCTAGTTTCGTGATTATCTGATAGGTTTGTTGGAATGAACACTTGACCACTAGGAGCACTATTTTTGTACTGGTTGATAACAATATCGAAATTATTTTGGTAGATTTCCTGCCTTCTACATATCCATTTTCCGTCTTGTTCGATTAATATACATATTTTGAAGGATTTATAAAACATTGAACGAATCCAACTGTTTTGGTTCTGATTCTGAAGATACTTTATTTTTCTTAGGGACGTTTTGTATGGGAATATAGCTACAGCGTCATTTTAGTGAGTAACGGTGCCGCTTTCGGTCAAGTATTTCTTAGTAATTTAATCACTTATACAATTAGTTTGTGACATTGTCTTACTACGTAAACCAGCCCAATCGGCTTTTTCACTATCAATCGAGGTATTCTTCTAGACACTAAAGTTTTAGTTCGCTTTATTGTCTTATATCAGTCAGTCATGATTAACGTAGGACCTAGTACAAATATGCATTATCCTAAATTGACACATCATATCGTTACAGAGTGATAAGACTAACAAATTATTCGGAGTAATAGTACCGATATAGTAAAGCTACATGAAAAATATGGGTAATAAGCTTTTCTATATCCTTGTAGAGTTTCGATAAAATGGTTTTTACTATCATACCTGTTAGTGTCATCTCTTCGTCCTAATGTATTGTGGCAACTGGAGCTGACGAACATTTGTTCCGGACTCGATTGATTATGACTGACTAAATGTTAATCTCACACTCATTTCACTCTACCCTGAAGTAGCTGCCACCTTGACGTGGTGGTCGAGCTTGGCCGTCTTACTAGATGTAGAGAAGCCACAGCAATTAAACCTCTTAGAGCTAAACTTAATGGTGAAAAAGTTAAGGATATATTTTAGGAATAATTGAAGAATGAGCTAGTCAATCATGAAATTGATATTCGTCCCGAGGAAGCTTGGTATGATAAACGAAAAGCTATGGGAACATCAGTGATATCTACCAGTAACTTAAACCAAAAGGTTGGGAGAAATCAGTGGACAACTGTTTAGACTCATCAAGGAAACGGGTATTAAAATACAGGTTGCTAGCGAAACCATCTCAAAGAAATGGGACTATCTTTCACTCTCAATCCAGGAAACTGAACTGATGGGCAGAACACTGGGAACAGTTCAGTCGGCCTTCAGCCACACATCACTTACCCACAATCTCCAAGCAACATGAATGGTAAACACTTAGTAAAGTTGAAAACGCTATAAGCAATCCAAAGCGAGGGAAAGCATCATGGTCTGATGGACTAACCCTTGAGGTTTTTAAGGATGGTGGTTCAGTTTCAGTAGTTAGATTAACTGGGATCTAAAGTAAAATTTAGGAACTGGACTTTATCTTGATCACTTATCGTCCCAGTTTATAAGAAAGGAAAAAAATCACGGGAATTAGTTTATCTGATAGTATCTAAGGTATTAGCCTCACTGATACTTTGATGTCTAATTGGAGCTCGTGAAGAGCAAACTCAAGAAAACAAGGCCGGTTTCAGATCATATATTCACCCTTCGGCAGATCCTGGAACATAGATACATTTATTGACGTTCGACTGTAGTTGTATTCTTTGACCTTAAGACAGCATTCGACTATGTCGATCGTGAGGTTTTATGGTAGTGTCTGTCATTGAAAGGTGTACCAAAGAAGCACATTAACCTTGTACAGGCTCTCTACTCGAATACTACTGATCGAGTCAGAGCTTATGACGAACTATCTTTGAAATTAGTTTCTTAAAGTGTTGTTCGTCAGGGTTGTCCATTCTCTCCACTTTTACTTGACTTTGTCATAGATATGGTTTTAGAGATAACACTGATCATCTGTATTTCCAAGGGTTGGCCTTCGACCAGGAGATTCACTTGTTAACTTAGAATACGCAGATGATATAGTTCTGTTTGATGAAGACACCAACAAAATACAAAGTCTTTTGACCATCTTAAGCAACAATGCAAACATGTTTGAGATTGGATTGTCTTTCTTTGATTACAAAATGCTACTTGAAGGTTGACTTGTGTCAGAGCCCGAATTAATGACAAGGAGTGAAGTATTTGAGTCTCATCAATACTGATGGTCTGGTGTCTGATGGAATCTCAGGACGCATCCAGAAGGCTTGAGTGGCTTTTGTCAACTTGCGTCATTTATGGCGTAGGCGAGATATCCGTCTATCAACCAAAGGACGGGTTTACTGCGTAGCAGTTCGTCCCGTCCCACTTTATGGCAGTGAAACATGGCCGGTAAGAGTAGAGGATATTCGTAGGTTACTAGTGTTTGATCATAGGTGTCTTCAAAACATTGCTCGTATATCCTGGGACCACCGAGTAAGTAATACAGTTGTTAGGAAACGGGTACTAGGTAAGGATGGCAAATCAATTGATGAAGTAGTGAAATTTCATCAGTTGAGATGGCTGGGACACGTGTTACGTATGCCCAACCATCGAATGCCCTGACGTGCGATGGTTTCTGGTGTAGAAGTAGGTTGGAAGAAAGCTAGGGGCGGCCAGACCAAAACGTGGCACAAATCCATGAAATCACTGACAAGTGGACTGAGTCATGTTGGTAGGTGTAGACTACCTGGCAGAGACCCGCGAGACGATAGCAACCGATGGTTAGAGACCCTAAATGACATGGCTCGAAACCGTTTACAATGACACAGGTGCATTCACTCTTTGTGTTCTTCCAAATTCTAATCTCTTGATTCCTCCTTGTTTTTTTTTCTCTTTCCAAATTTATTTCACTGGATTATACTCTTTAAATAACATCTCCAAACCCTAATCTTTCCGATTACCGCTTATACTCTTACCACCTCCACCACTACGGGATTTGAATCGATAACTGCATCTCTGTGCAAATGTGGTATGGCAACTCGAACTGGTTTACGTACGTACGAAGTTCTACGTTGCTGGTGACTGACTGACTGACGTATTTTCGATGCCTATTCTTTCCCATTACCTCTGATATTATTATTACTCCTATTATCCTGGGATTTAGCCCGACAACATCTATCTGTGCTAATGGGGTATGGGGACTTGGACCGATGTACATAAGTACACGTTCTGCGTTGTGACTGACTGCCTTTAGGTTTTTCAAATTGCGAAATTTCATTTAGGATTGCACTTTGTCGTAAATAGTTCATTTTTATAATCTTTATGACTAAAATGTATTTACATTTATTCTTCATTCAACTAATCGTCTCAAAGTTAAATTTATGTTAAGCTAATATTTCACGCAGTAATTTTATTAAATGTTAGGTGATATAGCAATAAATAATTAGAATGATACCAGTTCATTCACTTTACTGTATCGATCATACCGTGGTTGGGGAGATCATTTTTTAATGAGTAGCATTATCTTTGCTATTATGGGCTTTTGTATTCAATTTCATTCACCCTTATTTCAAACAAATTCCTATTTTAGGAAGTGTAAAACTAGTATGCCAGTTTCGTGTTGCAGATGTCAGTCAAAGGGTTATATTAAACGCCCGAAAACCGTATATGTCTTTTGAATTATTTTTCAACTTGACTTATATAGAGTGATATTATGTGTAAAGAATGTTTTTCTTGGTGTTTCGAAGAAGAAATACATTGGACAATTGTAAATGCCAAGCTTATTAGTCGTGGTGATAAAATTGCTATTGGTGCCTCTGGTGGTAAAGGTAAACATAATCATAGATTTCCTTTTATTAATCGATGAAGAAATAGAGATATTTAAGCTAAAAAAATTTCTCAGTTGAAATCACGAGTTGATCTAAACTAGGCCAACATCAGAAACTTAAAAGCACTAGGCGGCCGTTTCGTCTTATCATGGGGCTCCTCACCGGTGCGCACCCACGATCCCTCATGCGTGACTCGAGCTCAGAACTTGCGGTTTTGCGCGTGAACGCCTAACTTACGGATATTTTCGTTGGCCTAAGCTGTACGGCTGCATTGTATTTTTTATTGTATTGTTTACTAAAAATAGTAGTAATATGTGGTAAAATAGAATGGTGTTGAATAAATTTTAAGAAAATGATTTAGCATCTTTTTGTAAGTTCACGAAAATCTCATATTGATAGGAAGGTGTGCAATGATCCAACTGTTAACAGAAAATATCAAGGTGAAGATAATTGTCTACTTGATAAATATTAAGAATAGAACAATTGACTGTTGTAATGATAGCTGATTATTAGTTTCTAAAAATAATTAGGTGTAGAAAAATAAAGCAAAGGAAGTCTATATAAATGTATATATTTTTGTATTTTTAGATTCTACCGTATTAGCTTACATACTAAACTTGTTAAATAAAAGATATGATTATGGAGCGGAATTGCTTCTTTTATCTATTGATGAAGGTATAAGTGGATATAGAGATGACTCATTAATGGTAAGGTTTGTTTTATTTTTAGTTAAAATATTTGCAATATAATGATTTTTTAGACTGTTCAGCGAAATCAGATCCAATATGGACTTCCGTTAAAAATTCTTTCTTATCAGGTAGATTCTCTCCTTCACAGTCTAAACGATTTTTAGGATTTGTACGGATGGTCAATGGATGATATTGTGAAGCATATTGGGAATAAACGAAATTGTAGTTGATGCACTAGTGTTTTTGTTTATTGAAAAAATTTGGTAGGTACTTACTGTGGGATATTTCGCCGCCAGGCTTTGGACAAAGGTGCACTACTTCTTGGAGCTAACAAAATATGTACTGGTCATAACGCTGATGATATTGCAGAGACAGTGTTAATGAATAGTAAGTTACAACTGCTCGGTTTAAATATGTGTTTTGGTTTGCTGAGAGTTTTATATGCTTTTTATGGGATTTTATGTGCTGAATTGAAACAGAAACAGTTTTCTCATTTTCCCTTTTTTGCTTACAGTTCTACGAGGTGATATTGGTCGATTAAAACGATGTACAGCTATAATGACAGTAAGTAATGGAAAAACTAGGAGTTTTCAAGTTAATTTTACTCATACAAATATATTTAGGGTACAGATGATATACTTCCTCGTTTTAAACCTTTTAAATATGCTTACGAAAAGGAGATTGTCATGTATGCACATATGCATAAATTGGATTATTTTTCAACTGAATGTAAATACGCACCACAAGCTTATCGGTAAGTAGTGGTATTTTATCGTGTTTTTTATTATTTAGAGGGCATGTAAGAGCGTTTATCAAGGATTTGGAGAGAATACGACCTAGGACTATCATAGGTGGGTTGCTTTCTGTTAGAGTGGAATTCACCTTATTTGATTTAGATATTATAGCATCCGGTGAACGTATGGCTATTCGAAGTGATGTAAAGATGCCTCAGAAAAGTATGTCTTCACTTTCAAATAAAAACATTGTACTCATTCTATTAGTGTATGCAAATCAAATGCGTGTCAGCTTTTTACCATCAGTTCAGCACTAATATAACCTGTGCTACTCCTATTTCCATTGTCACAGCCTTGTAGTATCTGTAATCCGTCCATAATAAGTGTCACTCGTAGTTTACTAAACTAAACCATACGCGGTTATTGAGTTGATATTCATTATGTGTCTAAAATACATATTTTAGATACCAACTCTTGAGCTTCAGTATGGGCGTTTAGTGTACGAGATTTACTATGACTAGAAAAAAAAACCCAACTAATGTCACGCAATCGGATTATTTATAGTATAGTGAATTGGGTATAGATGATTTATTGCGTTGATCCCAACATTTATAGTTAGTTATGCGTTATATTTTTTTAACGATTGCCACTTTGATCAATTCTTATCTAGTATCCATAATGACCATAATTAACAACATCTTAATATGAAATAACTTATCGAATGGTATTATGAATATTTTATTACTTTTTATCTATTTCGCATATTCTGCTAAGTTACTTTATTCCTTTTTAGTTTTCTAAATTTGATGATTTGTGCTTAACTAATTTTGTTTTAGACAGTTAAAACTTAGTTTTATATTTCAAGCGTAGTCTTAATATTTTATTATTTATTTTTTTCCACTAACCTATTTAATTTTAAAGCTAATTTTAAGTGAGAATGCTAAAGAAAAACAATATTCTGTTTATGATAATGCAAAAATATTTGATACATGTTTCTTACGATTGATATCCAAAATTCTACTTCGGTTTTAATCTATGTTGATATCTAGTTTGACAATAAGGAGTGAATTATTTGAACACATAGATCATTTCAATCACCACTTTTGGTGGGTTGATGTCAGGCAAAATCTTTGCACATGAGTACAAAGGTCTTGTTTGACTTCTACTAACTAATGCTGTTTATAGTTCGGGTTAGATGTCTTTTTCTTTATCACCTGATAAGTATGCTGTGCGTCTAGATCACACTTTATTGGGTACATGTTCTTTTCATTTTATATGACTTACACAAATCTCTGCAAATCAGCTAATTAAAAATTTGTTTATTTTGGTTTCTTTCGTGTTTAGGTACTTGCGAAAAGTGTGGATGCATTTCAAGTCAGCTTATATGTCAGGCATGCATTCTCCTAGAACAGCTTAATTCTGGTTTACCACAGATAACCATAAAAGATACCGAACAGCATTCTCAAATTGACTAGTCGGGCGATACCAATTTTTCTAAAGATTTTATATTATATATCAGATATTGTAAATATATTCCTATTTGGATAGTGGTTCTTATAAGTGTAAATTCTTACTTTAAGAGTGTCAAATTGGTGTTGTATGTTTTGAATTTTTCATGTATAAAGTAATGGGAGTAAATACTATTCTTGTAAGTATTCTTGAACAAATTGATTGTTCTTTCACTTTTGTTACTATCATATGAATAGAAAGATAGACAACATAGGAGTTGACCCATAGGTGTATTGATTCCTTTCAGTACATCTCAAACCTGCACAACGATTAGAAACTAACTAACAAGATTGAACATATTGGGTAAAAGCACCAATAACAGTGAAAACCTGAAATTAAAAAGTCTGAAGAATGAATAAAATGTGTGGAATGCTACGCTTTTCAACTTTAAAGGAATAGAAGCAATGAATGCATTCACATTACTATGTTCGGTTTTCAGCCATATCTCTAATGACGAAAATTATTAGTTTTAAAATGTAGTAAGTACCGGTTGATCAAAAGTAGGTCATATTTACTACAAAATAGATCTTAGTAAAAATCAATAAAGATTAGTGCTAATTAGATCAATTTTGAAGTCAATTCTATCACCATTAAAGTTAGTAAACGATCGTACGAGTACAAGTAAGTACCTTGATATTTACTCCACACGTAGTTCTGGCTTCAACTCTGAAAGATTCGACAGTTTCGGATTCGTTTTCACATAGTATTACTATTAAGTATTCCAAACAGTTTTGTTATAACAAATCATCTTGAGATAGTTCTCGTCATCAGTTAACTTATATTTGAGAACCATTCGAAAAAAGACAAACCGGCTGTTCACTAGTGTTACGGCTGAGAACCGTTCGTGAGCTGCTATCTATTAATTAAACGTATTGCTATAGCTCAACAACTAAATGCTGAGCCTATTATGTGTCTTTGTCTAAGTTTTTGGCACTCAATTCTTAAATATGAGTTACTGAAAAATTACAATGTAGACTTGTGGTATTTCAAAGGATTAATGAATCTACGCGTAGGTGGAATTTTTAGTTATATGAATTTCAATTGGCAAGGGAAAGATCGATCCAGAAGTAGGCAGATAATTCCACAATTATGAAATTGAAACAAAAACGAAGTGTACATATGTTAGCAAGCTATCTGAGCTATAAATGTAACATAAAGGGTATGTGTACGAACGTAAAAAATAACGTGAATAAGTTTTCTTTATTCAGACAGGTGAGAGGGATTGGATTTTTAAAGTAATTATGTCACTAAAAATAGTACAAAGGGAGATTTGTACTTGAATTAACGTGTTTTGAACACCCAGTTTTCTCTCTGTAACATTTATGAAGTTACTTCGGCATTTTGAAATATGTGGATAATATATAATAACAAACTAAGCGTCTCGTGATTATCGTATTTACGATATGATTTTCAACATAAAATTGTTCTTAAAATACAGATAAACTTTTTCTATCTTGTTTTTTCATTTAACTCGAATTCACTGATATACTTGTTGAGGTACTACGGTGCCAAATAATTCATTTGAGGAACGCTAAGTCTCGGATCCAACGAAGAAGTAGTATATGTACTGAACTGCAAAAACGGTTTGATATTCAATATCTCCAGCTGTATTCTTTTAGACACAAATTTCCAAAGTAGGAATAGGTTGGAAAACCTGTGATTTACAATCAGTATATTCCCACCCGGATCTTGATTTCACTAAAAGGGCTCAAATTGGTGAACATGTGAAATAAAAAGTTGCTACAGAAAGTCTGTGTGTAGCCAGTTCCAATCACAATTACTTTATGCTTTGAGATTAGGATTCTGGGCTATTAGGACATTCATTATAAATCCCGTTAAATGTGCGTCCTCATGAAGAAGTACTCTTCCTAAGACTTGGGTCCAACTGATTTCGTCATTCCTTTTGTCTCAAAGTATTTCTCATATATTTTCCAACGTGTCATTTGACCAAATTTTCCGACCCCAAAAATTAAACATGGGAAGCTTATTCTCTTTGAGAAATGGAATAATACAATTAAAATAAATGTGTTTTCCCCTTAATGTAGTTTTTCAGTATGTCTATCATCATAACATTGTAACTTCTCCACTTAACAACACGTCCAGAATACAATCAAAATGTCACACTGAACGAAGTTTGCACCCGTTACCCTGGCCGAAATTCATGATGAATTGATACCAAAGATATTGACCTAAATAATGTCATTTTCTTATCACATCATATCACTGCTTATTAATAAAAAAAGGGAAAATACGTTCGTGTTTTGGTAAAAAGTAAACAAGAGAGAATTTCTGCCAGATGTGTCAGTTATTATTGAAAAGTAGTTGTGATCAGCACAACAAACAATGGCCATTATTTATCTGAATAGAACCTGAGTTCCGAGTGCATTTCACTATTGATTAAAACCAGTCCTAGAATCATTATAAACTATGGTACTCTGGACACCTGTTAATTCTAGCTTATCATTTCTATTTGTGCTTACCTAATAACTAGCTTTAAACCAACTAGCAAAAATGACACGTTCACATACCCAAATACAAATCTAATAATTTACATGTTCAGCTAAAGTCAATCAGAGATATATTTAACCATCTCTTGATTTAAATGGAGTTTTTTTCTCTGAGCTAAATAGTTTGGTCATGGAGCTTTAGATAGAAGTTTGTACCGATGATGTTGTTCAGAATAGTGAAAGCTTTGCGACCAAACCATCCAGCTTACAGAACAAAACTCCACCTCATTCATCTACACGAGCTACAAGACCTTTCCACAATCTCAGCTGCAAGTAACAATAATTACAGATGTTCAGTGAAGGTAAGTGTGTTAAACGATTTGAAGATCCGATTAGCCTTTCCTAAAATTGTAAAGCAGGTGACCTTGCTGAGAAAGGTTCTTTTGCACTCACATTTGTCAAGATACATATTTTAGCCAATTTTTAAGATTGTTCACACTACAATAAACTTATGCAGCGTGTACTGAACAAGAGTACTTTTTCCAGTTTACATGAACAGGATTCCATAAGTATATAGTGTAAGGGAAAATATCAATCAAACCAAAATTAAAATATTTGATCTAAAAGCCCATTTTTCGGTGCTTCTTGGACGGTAAAATGTTAGTTAAGCTGACATGCTTAATTCTCCTTACTACTCAAATGGAAATATAACATTCGTGTAAGTCTAACTGTTATTATCGTAAACAGTATAAAAGTTGATCACGAGTAGTAGTAGTAGTCGATATAGATGAATATTTCACTTAAGATAAACAAATGGAACAATTTTAACGCTTCATTTATTTGGGTGTTGTATTCGATGCCTTATTTCCTCCAAAAAATAATTTTTTTCTTTCTTCGTTAAAAATAAACGCACACATATACACACACACAGGATAAATCAATAAATGGGCGAGATCATTTTTAAGGTCATTTATGATAATATTATCTACAATAGTCTGGACGAGGATAATTGTTGTTGTAGAGAATTGGATTATATTTCGAATTTTGGGCGATTTCATTTAGTATTTAATAAAATAATTGATAGGGTTTATTTCAGTTCAACATAAACTGAGAAATTTTGATGAAGCAAGAATCATTAATCGGTTGTTTTATTTCTAAGTTTCTATTCAGTGTTGAATCTATATCTTTCTATGTGGTCTATCGTGAATGAAGAATTGTGATTTTTTGGTCTAGTAGCTTTCAATGCTTAGTTTATCTTATTAGTTTTTGTCATAGACTGATATTATATGTAAAGATTTACTCACAGACAGTACTATATATGGACGACTGAATACTGGGTCGGTGTTCTTGGATCTAATGAAAACTAACAATAAAAATTTTTAAAAAAATTCCACAAACATCCATATTTAACATAAATTATTTGTTTAAAAATCTGGAATGTTCTTACTGATCCTTCTATATTACTGATTCATTGATTTTTAGCTTACACATTAATACAATTTTATCAACATTAAAAGTGCCAAAAAAGATGAATAAGTTTGGAATAAAGATTTTGAAAAAATTTCATGGTTCGTTCATTGAGGTGAACATACAACATACTAATAATAACTAATAGTATTGCATGTTTAGTACAATATTGTAGTCGCATGAATTTTTCTTAGTTGTTTTCAATATGATACGGTTGAGATCTCTATAAGAAATGCAATAAACTAGTTTCCAATGTCAACATAATGACACAGTATTAATAATAATTGTTATAACTTGTTCCCTGTGCCTCTAACAATGTATAACGTAATAATGCCGCCAATTAGAGAACAGTGAATTATCAACCGGACCAATGACGCATAAAACCCGTACGAGCAGTCTATAATAATAATAATAGTAATAAACTTTGTACGACGATTCACCATCTTGTGAGGTTCTCTGTAATTCATGACTGAATGATTGATCATAGTGATTTTGATAATAAGTTTACAATTTACAAAGAAACTATTGAGTTTTAGTTTGAATATATTTTTTATGGCTTAGAAGCTATTCAAACAATGTAATATTCTGATTCCAACTTGCATTCTATTCAATAATTTCATTGACTATAAATATGAATATCTATATGGTGTATATATTTAATTACGTTGTAACTATAGTTAAAACTATTCGGTTTATGTTGTCAAAAGAGAATTCAAATCTGTAATTCAACACTTACAACTGAATGAAATACCTATTATGTATGGATTTTCCAAAAAAAGATTTTTTTTATCTCGTTCGAAATTATCCCAATTATGCTTCAAAATGTATTTATTTATTTGAACACATAAGTATTGTTACAAGGGGGCAACAGATATATATGCGCCGCACAAAAATAGCCAGCCCTATTTCTTGTCCGATCTGCGTTAGAGTGTGAACGTTAAAGGAAGCCAGTTTGAATGGTGAACGTGGTTTCAGGAAAACTGTTTCAGTATTCATATTCGGTGGTAGCATTCAATTTTCAACCAGACAGTGACTTGGGATCGTTTAGATAGAACAAAATTTCTACCATAAGGTGAGAATGGAAGAGGGTGGATAAGTGACGTAGTACAAAAAAATAAAAGTGAATGTTTTCAAATAAGTATGGGTTATTTGAATTTTAATAGGTGTGCGAGTAGTATATCACCGTCATTTCATTTTAATTGTGTGAGGGCTATGATACTGCCCGGGTGTCAAACTGAAGTAGG